TGCGTTAGTCTGCGCAGATCGGCTGCAGCAGATGCTGCTTTGTTACAATCACCACGATGATGATGCTGATGTCATGCCTTTAAGATGATTATCAGTGGAATTCAGTTTGGGTCTCTGATCCTTCACAAGATGGGAGAAAAGTGCGCTTCTAGTTAGTTTACTGTGAACTGCTAACAGGGAGGAGAAAACGGCTGACATTGCAGAAATGTCACATAAATTTGGCTGGTGAAGCAGCTCCAGGCCGGGCGACGAGGCCTATTGTGTGTGTGGATTCAGCTCGGAGCCTGGGCTGATGAAATATTACAACACCGCGGAGTTCCCCTCACACTGTGAATACATTTCTGCTTCAAACAAGTTTTTACAAAATGTCGCGCTATGCTCAAATGTGGGCGGTGCATCAGAGTGCAAATGTGTGAAAGTGATTGATGGGTCATGTGAGAATGAGTCAGAGGAGTGTGTTTGGTGGGTTTATTACCCTGCTGGCCTGTCAGACCACTCTGTGCTGATTGATGGTGTGCTTTGTGTTTGAGCGGGGGACACCTTGTGTGTTTGGGAGGCGAGATGCCTGTTCCAATGTACATGTAAGCCTTGGACTCGTCACTTAGTGTTGTTATGAGAGAGGTCAACCAGAGGTTTAGAGGTAACGGTCTGTGAGAGCAAAGTATTGACAGCTGAGCAGCCAGAACATAAAAATTGGCTTTTTAATATTGTGCCACTGAAAATAGCTCTGACCCATCGGATCGCACTCCGGCACCAGGTCATTGACCCAGTGTGTGGGGAGGGAATCGTGCACTCTTGGAGCTTATCCTGGGCTAGTTTTGCAATTAGGAAGGGCACATTTTCTTCCAGCTGGAGGCATCTGTCATGGGGGAGTCCCATTAACCTGTTTGGGGAGCATGTCAAAGTAATATCCATAAAAATGAGAAGACTCTAGCCAATTGCAGCACACGAGGCAGCATGTGAGTAGTGAAATGTATTCTGGGATAGTGCCGCATCCACCAGCGCACCCAGTTTGCATATGCATTGTAAACCTACTGCAACACAAACCTGCTTTATGTGAACAAAGCTGGACTCTTTTATTCATCACAACTGTTATAACCTGCACAGGGAAATGAGGTCACATTGAAATCAATGTTGCCTGAATGTCAGTGTTTCCCTGTGTAGTTTGCAGTAGTTGACAAATAACTTCTAACATAGAGGCTGTTTGCTGATACTGATGCAGAACACATAGCTGCCATCTGACTGCTCTGATACAGCATATGCACCAAAATCTTTAGTCACAAAACTAACAGATTGCGGTAAATCTGATCCGTTTGGCTCGTCGTCCTCCATGAAAACATGCACTTTATTGCCAGAGAGTCCCGCTGAGTCAGAGTCAGGGTGCTCCATGACTACCGACCTCGTCTTGTGTCGTGTATTTTTTTTAATTTAACATATCATTCTTATCTCTTGTTAAAGAACTTGCTGTTCAGCTTAACTGGAGCTGTGTGAGCTTGCACCTGACCGTTATCTCAGTGCATGCAGCACACATTTTGCACTTGTTTTAAAATGATGAATTAAACATACACAGATGATTTATTTTTTTAATTTTTTATGCACAAAACTCGTCTGTAAAATTCTGCCACATGCGTTAGCTTCCGCAGCTCACCTCTGTTTGACCTCTCGTCCTCCAAACCAAAACACACTCAACCTCAGATGATCAATAAGCAGATGAAAGGTTCAAGCATGTTTTTCTGAAATTGCTGGCTAGCTTAAATGAATTCAGCTATACATGAGGGAGTTTTTATGACACCCTGAGAGTTACAGGGTAACTGTGAAATTGCACATCATATCGCCTCAAGCGCCAACCCCTCACTATGTTTGATATGTTTTGAGCCTGAAAATCATTAACTCCACCTTATGTTGAAGAGGGGATCAATGAGATCCTCCTGGAGGCCTTCTACACTCTCACAGAAGCTCAGATACCAGCAGAAATGCTTTGAGTGCTTTTATGGCTTTCGTTCTTAGCACTTGGAGTAGACTTGATGTACAAAGGCAAGCCCCAGGTGAGATTAGCTCTACTAAAAAAATGCGCTCTGGGTTAAAAGTCTTTGTGTAGTTGAATTGGTTTGGCGGCGTATGCAGAGATGATACTCTTTGTAGGAAAGCTGTACTTTTCCTCAGTCCTTTTTCCGATTGAAGCTCAGTCAGAGCTACAGCTGCAGAGTCTGTCTGAGCCAGACAGAGCTAATGGGATAATGGCATATGTTACAGATGAGTCATTTAACGGTAGCTGAAGGAACTAAAACCACAGAACTGTAAGTCCCACTTATATGCAAAAGCTTCTTTTAATTTGCACAGTTCCTCTGGTTAAATACATCATATTTTATTTTTAGCACATGTTACTGTTACCAGACGCTGCTGTCTGGAAGCTTAGTTGTATAAACACATATGTTCAGGGGGGGAAAGCAGTTATATTTAGAAATTTGAAATATTAGCACTTTGCACATGCCTGTGTTTTCACAGCATGAAAAATGCCTGAACTGTATATGGGAGAGATTTGGTCTTCTGTGAAACGCCAAGTAGAGGTTGACAGTGCGGATAATGTGCTGCTGTTTCAGGGGTCAAGGCTAGGTGAGCGTGACCGCGGGGTATTTTTCAGCTGAAATGAGCAGACTAAATGCATTTGTCAAAGGCAGGAGTGTGTCATGTATCTTATTAGTTTAGCATTTGTGTTAACAGTTCTGCACATATAAAAAAAAAAAAAACTATTAAGAAGTTAATAAAGAGAGTAATGAAACAGGAAAATGCCCACCAGTGTCTGCTAATAAGGGAAGGTTAAATCTTTCATCACTAAAAGTGAGTGAAGTTGATTGAGAGCTCTCCTGCTGGGGTAATGTTTCTTTTTGCTTCATGATGGATGTGGGAAATAATCTTCCTGCTATGTTTCCATCCTCAGTCTGCTAATCTGCTGATCTGCTAACTAATTTTCTCATCTGCAAATTAGTGATTTGCATCAAACACGTCAGTGCCAAAGTGCCTTAAGCTAGCATGCTTTTCCAGTGATTCCAGTAGGCTGCTTTTGTTTCAAAACAGATTTCCTATTGTAAAAGACTCCTCGGCTCGACTCATATGGCCGACCTTGTGAATGGTAAGTTGTATCCCTCTGGTTTTCTGTCAAACCCACTCTTAGTTACAGGCATAGAGACCAGTGGGGAGTCCACTGGCAGACACCAGTTCCTCCACCCAGTTTGTGAGTGGTTGCTAACAGCTTCTGTGAAGCCGTTTGCTAAAGCTGCTGTCATGTATTTTGAAAGTAAAAGTTTAGCCTTTTTTGCCTTCACTGCTGCTCGGCAAGTGGTTGGATAGTGTTTGCAGACTAGTTGGCAAGCAGCTGTGATATGCCGGAAAGCACAAGGAGGTTTTTGGTGCTCTTTGCGTCCAATTTAACATAGTGACAGCCTGCGTGACATAAGATGGCAATGACTAAAATCATCACCTGGCAGCTCCATAATAGTTGTTAGTTTCATGGTTTCTCTATCCATTTTTTTTTATTTACAGTTTTTTGAAGTTACATCGATTTTACATTGAAGTAAGTGTAAATGTCATAGCTCATTAAACTCATTAAAATGCTGTTAAACTATAAAAGTTTCATCATTCTGTTCAAGACTGATCCCCCACACCCCGTTAGTCTTTTTTCCCCTCTTTCATGAGTGTAACTGTATCCCCTAACAGACTGACAGGGTCCCCCCTCTTTACCCTTATAGGTGGCCTCTGTGAGCCCGTACTGACAGAAGAGTGAAAGAGGACATTGTGAATGTTCTTGTCTTTTCTCTGAGCTCTGTGTTTTATTCTGTCTGTCCCTCAACCAGTGCCATTTAATTTATCTGTCACTTTCCCTTCAAAGTCTCTCATCGCTTCCTCTTTTTCTGTTAGTGTGGGTGAGATGTGACCTCAGGGAAAACGACGTGCTGAGCAGTTATTCAGCATCTCGGAGCCTGGATATTAAAACGATTTATGGATTTAATAAGTTTTGTCATCGCATCTTGTGCAATTGCAGAGTAGAAAAAGTGCGTGTGTGTGTGAAGTATGTGTGAGTACATTGCTGAATGGGAGTCATTGTCTATTTTTGTTTTCAGGGAGTTGAGGGGATCTGATGGGTGTCAGTAAGACGGGGAGCGGGGCAGAGAAAAGTGGCGCCGGCTTTGCCCTGGTCAAGCGGACATACTTAACAAAGTCTCTAAAAACTTAATTTCCTAAAAACCCCCTCACCCCAAAAGATTCCTGTCATCACTGACACAGTGGCGCATTGTGTGAGCTTTTCTCTGTGAGACTGGCCTGAATGCATTGGAGGGAAGGTGTGTGCGTGCATGTGTGTGTGACTTTGGTTAATCATAGACTTGTGTATATATTCATTGCGGGGAAAATGCCCTTGTTGCAATGGACCTCAGTTACTCACTGCTCTTGCCCTACAAGCCGTTACAGTGATGAACACACACACACTAACACACTGACTAATGAGGGAGCCCAGGTCTATTCTTGGCTTTACCTTGAATAATGCATTGCTAGGAGCCACATCGGTGGGTTAGAAACGCACAAACTATAGCGACCACACACAGGCGTGGATTGAGGTTGTGGACTAAACCGAAACCACTCAACGCCTCATTACAATTCAGAGCAGAAGCACAATCTGGGATTAGGAGGTAACTATCTAACAGTACGCATTTAATAAAGGTGGTACATTGTGTTACTGCAAAGCATGGCTGCTTGCAAAACCTGAAAATCTCCACACAAATATGAGCGATTCAGATATGTCCATCTACCTCACAGGAAAAAGCACCGTACAGACTGGTGTTTCTGTATTCTGTGCACACTGTTGCACTACATCCTACTGAGTTTACCTTTGGAAGAAGAGTAAAGACCTCATGCAGACTAAACATACGCCATCTTTTTCACGCCATAAATTTGCACGAAGTTGAACGTTGACTTCTTAATGTGCTCTTCTCTGTGTGTCTGTCCAGGCTCTGGATGTGGATCGCAGCGTGCTGTACAAGATGAAGAAGTCTGTGAAAGCTATCTACACGTCTGGGCTAGGTGAGTCTTGACTACGCTCCATCACCACAGCAGATCGCCGGCCTCTTCTGCATTACTGAAAGAACAATGCTGCATGATTCAAATATTATGAACCATTTTAACATGCCAGCACTGAAGCAAAGAGTTAATTTGCAGTAAGACTAGATGCTTATGTCTTACCTTTTGAGTCTCCTTTAGGAGGAGACTCCTTGTTGGAGTGCAGTGAGCCGAATATTTCTACATCTTTATTTAGTAAAAAAATATTTAAGAGGTTGGTTTGCTGGAAATGCTTTTTTTCAGTTCCTTTGGTCTTTATTTTCTGTTTGATTTTAAAAGAAAGTATATCCTCTGTCTTTGAAGTGGAGAGAGAGGTTTGTCTTTTAAGCCCTGTGTATGTGTGTGTGTCATTACCATGCTCATTATGCCTGGCTGTGCCAGTGTTGGGTGTTTTTTAGTGTCTTTTGTTTGGCCTGCCTGACAGAACCCCGCTGAGAGGCAGAAATGGAGAGAGAGGGAGAGAGACCTCTGAACAATGTGCTGAGCACGTCTTTTTCAGAACAGTGTGAGCTCTGTTCAGGCAGGAGGGACAGCTGTCTGATCCAGACCCCCGGAAGGAACAGCTGGGGAGGGGCACAGCCTGTGTTTGTATGTGGCCGCTGAGGCATGGACACACACGTTCTCACGTCACTCTTAAACATGCATTTACATTTATAACGTCCAGCACTTTTCAGTCCCGTGTGATCTTACATGCAGGTGTAAGTGTAGGCGTATAAGCTGCAAAATGTTGCCGTAGGCTCTTCATTTGAATCTTTTTACTGGGACGTTGCTGCATTTCAGACGGTTTTTATAAATGTTTGGAGTAGAAACATTGCTTTGTCTGTAGGAATACCACAGGGGATGCTCTTATTTATGCTCGCATGAATGGAGGTCACCTTTTGTTATCAGCAATTATCAAGGAGAAGCAGCCCAGACACCAGTGTGTTTTGAGTATAACCCAGAGGATTTCAGCTTCATGTCTGTGTGATCCTCATGTGCCGAGTACATCGCATTTTTAAATGGAAACACAATAATGACAGTTATTTAGTATATTTTCCAAATACAGGCTACTAAATTAAAAGCCATGCCTTATACTTTAAGTTTTATTGATCCATATTTCTATAATAACGGTACATCCACTGAGTGTTGTGACAAGGGCAGTTTAAATTACTATCTGCCAGTTCACTTCAGGCTTTTTGTCGCTTACATCTTGCTAACTCGCACTTGTTTTTATTATTAGGCGGCTGCAGACCTCCTCTGTTGTGGCTCAGTGTGCTCCCTGCCCAGCAGCTAAGTGTATACAGACATTTAGCTGCTATGTGGGGAATATAGTGGAGTATGTTGCAGGTGAAGCCAGATAATTACCTTTTGGATTTGGTGGTGATCAAAACAAGAAAACCAGAAAAGTGACTATTATGTTTCTCAGGTGACCAACCCAACAGTGTGTATTTCCTCACTCAGCACACCTGTGTCCCAAATGAGCGTTGCCAGGTTGTTGTGTTATCCCAAAGTCTGACAGACCTCGGTATCATTAAATCTAATGTTTGTCACTTCAGGGTGGCAGGCTAATGCTAAGGATTTAGAATGAGCGATCGGCTTCCTTTGCTGCTGCAGCCGTCTACAGAAAGCTCGGCTTGCTCGCTAGTGGCTGCATATTTCGTAGTTGGACGGCAAGGCAGCCTTGTTTGTTTGACAGCATGCCAAACTAACCCGCACATCAGTGTAATGTAAATGGGTTACATAGCGCCGTAAATAAACAATCCCTCGACTGTAGTTTAGGAGCAGTGTTCATGTGGGCGGCTTTGCAAACCCTTTTACCTGCAGAAACAAGCTACATACACTCAAAAATGATCCTATTGGCTCTTTAAAACCAGCTGAGATTAATTAGATTGTAAGTGGTTAATGACACCATGCAACTTGTATCTAAAGCCAAGCTCTAACATAAATATAGAGGAAAAAGGATCACTTGAGTTTTCTTTGGGTAAAGTGTGAGTAATGTGACACATAGCAGGGAGCCTCAGCACCTGCTATGGCTGACTGACTCTTCCAAAATTCTGCAAAGATATTTTAGGCTGAGAAATAACGTTTTGTAACGATGAGGAGAAAGAGGAGCTGGGTAAGCAGAGGGAATGTTGAAGGTTTAGAGACTGTATTGAGGTCAAATCAACGATTTTTTAAAAGAATTACCATCTCAGGGAAAATCTGAGAGGCTGAGCGTGCATGGTGAGTTTGTAATGTGGATAAAGAAAAAGATGGGAAAGGGAGCGAGAAAGGTGGAGTGGTTTTAAATGAGCAGGAGAACCCTGTGTTGCTGCAGAGACCTGTCAAGGTGTCAGCATGTGGGTTTTGATGAATAAACCAGCAGCAGCATCTCAGACCTCAGAAGGAGCTGGAGCTGATCGCGCAGAGCTGCTCGGACAGGCTTGTCAGAGCTGCTGAACAGAGAATAACTGGAGGGGGATGATGTACCTGTAGCTGGGAAGGACATTTAGTTGCTGAATATAATGCAGAAAGCAGACCACGCTGCATCAGAGAAACACTGAAGTTGATCATGTGTCTGCAGGTAGCAGAGAAAATGAGATTCTCCATAAACTTTTAGCACGATTACCTTTAATTAATGTCTGAGATAAATGGGCCGAGGAGAAACTAAAATGAATGCAGAGAGGACTCAAAAAAGAGCTCATGTTATTTGTGTAAAGCGGTTTCTTGGATTTTAGTAAATACAATTTAGAAAATATAACGTTGTCTTTGCAAGACTGAAGGTTTCAGGTGGAGTTTGCAGCTGGTTAAGCTGCTGGGTACATAATTGATATTTATTTATGTTTATATATAAATATGTATATCAATGTTAAAATAAATTATTTGCATGTGCAGTGGCTTGCACAGAAATGTAGCTTTAGACAAAGTTAAGTTGGCCGAGCTAACCCCCCCAGTTTCTGTTTTCATTCTAAGCTAACTGGATTTGTACTATAGCACATGTTCTCACTCACTGTCATCTCACTTACTGTCCTCGTTCCAGGAATTTGCAAAAAAATTATTTTAGCAAAACATCAAACTTGAACTTTAAGGAAAGTTTTTTTTCTCTCCTTTGATTGTCTCTCATGCCTCTGCGATTCCTTGTCTCTGTCCTGTGGGATTAATAGTCACGCTTCCTTTTCTGTGTGCTTGTGGTCATTTTGCTCAGCGTTGTTTTCATTGAGTCCTTAGAGAGATCTGGAATTGATCGGAGGTCACCGGCGCATTGTGTCGCCGAGCGTCAGCTGACCCGGACTTACGAAGCTGTGTGGGAGAGACGGAGAGAGGAAGTTGCTATCTGGTGATTAAACCCCGCATGTGTGGGAGAGAAATGGAAGAGGCTGCAAAACAAGCCTTTGGGATGTAAGATAATCCTCAGCAGACGCCTGGAAAGCTGTACATGTGTGTGTTTGTAAGTTTAGGAGGAAAGATACAGCGGTGAATGCCACAGGCGTGAGCAGGCTTCTGTCTTGCAGTGAATGCAACTTTATCATTTCCTGAGGTTGAGCAACAGGAATCCTTTTCTCTCCCTTTGACGCACAATACGCTGCCATTTACTTTCAAGCTGACTTCTTAAGCCATTTCTCATGCTGATTTTAAATAGACAATAACATCCACTCTCAAAGTTTCCCTCAAAGGAAGATGAAAGTACTGACTTCAGTTATACAAAGGAGAGGGGACCATCTATCCTTTTATTTTCCTTATCTTCATACATTACTGAGACAATATACGCTCAACAGCCAGTTTATTCAAACTGCTTATTAATGATCTACTGCAAATAACACGAGAAAGCTTGTTTCAGAGATACCAGGAGAAACGAAATAAAGATGACTTATTATGAACTGTGACTCATGCAAAGCTACACTAGTAGAAACTAAGATTAAAAATACGGACTAGAAAAAAGCACAACATTCCCCACATTGAGTTTTTTGCAGAAGGGTAAGGGTTTATGTTAAAGTGGGCTGAATTGTGGTTATTTGCATACCTGTGCAATAGCCTGAGGAATCACTAAGAACTCGCAGTCAGCCTGACAGCTCTTCACTAATTGTAGCTCATTTAGTGTTTTCTTACTTTGTTATATTCTGAGTTTGTCTTCTCTGAGAAATTTCCCTGTAACCTCTCGTCAGAGCCTGAGTCGGCGTCTTTTAGATCTGCAACAATAAAAATCAGGTAAAATCAGCTTATGTAATGCAACAATCAATGAATCTTTTAAGCTCTAATCATATAAAATCCCAATTCCCCATTTTCTGTTGTTGCATATCTTTAAGTGAGGTTCGGAACACCAGTGTTATTTCATGGAAATGTTTACTCAGTGTCTACACATCTGCAGGTAAACAAGGAATTAGCAGGTTGTGTTTGCAGTGTAAACTACAGGAAAATGTCTCTCCTGTCCTTTGTTGGGTTTTTTCCTGCCACGTAAACTCACACGCCCTCTGCTCTGTACTACGGGGCTGCATGCACGACATGTTTGGGTCATGTTACAACAAATACACATGTAATCACTAAGCTGCCCTGGAGGGGTTTGTGCTATTTGTCAGCTTTGAGTAGGGCTCTCATGTGCCACTTCAAAAACAACAACAGGACCCCGCCCTGTTGGCTCGAAACCTGGCTGAGCTAAACAGCTGGAGCGGATTTGGAAAGCGGGCTGTGGATGTGTGGCAGTGGTCGGTTTCTGACACATGACGGTGATTGAAGTTTACTACATCTTTGTGTGGTACATCTCACTGCAGGTCTTTGTTATGTAAAAGAGGATTTGGTGCTTTTGGTTTTTTATTT